TATTAGGATTTGGTTGCTGACACATCGTGTCATCACATAGAGGAAGTGTTAATAGTCAGTAGGAAACGTTCATGACCCGTTGAGACTCTAAACTTTCTTTTGTTATTATTTTTCCTCTGGCTTTGCTGCTGCTCTCCTGTGTTCCTTCAAGGAGACTCGAGTTCCTCCACACCCAACTAGCCACACCATGTCTTTATGGATCTGGCTTTCTTCATAGGGGACAGTGATGGTGGAACAACTGCAAAGGGCCCTCACCAAACTGTTACCACAAGGTCAGAAGAGCACAATTGTCTACTAGGTCTTTGTATGATGTATGTCTGTGAAGGTTCTCATTCATCCAGGTCACATGGTATATCTGTAAAAAACAAGTCAAGGCAACTGGACTTGCTGTGTTTTTCTTGAAGACGTTTCACTGGACATCCGACCAGCTTTCTCAATTCAGAATAACTTGTACAAACATTCTCTGGGAATAAATATGGTGAATGTTGCTCCAATCCAATTGTATGATGTAGTATTAACAGAACCTTCACTGGAAACATCTGAACCTCAACGTTGGAGGCGGTCCACATACTTCTGGTCATATCGTAGGTGCAATGGTTAGGTGTGCACGAACATTTGGCCATGTAGTGTATTGCTTCTCTGAACCCTCTACATACAACTTTATGTTAATGGTGAAATGTCATGATTTACACTACATTGCCAAAAGTATCGGGACGGCTTTACACGCACATGAACTTTAATGGCATCCCAGTCTTAGTCCGTAGGGTTCAGTATTGGGTTGGCTCCGCCCTTTGCCGCTATAACAGCTTCAACTCTTCTGGGAAGGCGTCCACAAGATTTAGGAGTGTGTCTATGGGAATGTTAGACCATTTGTGAGGTCAGGTACTGATGTTGGAGGAGAAGGCCGGGCTCGCAGTCTCCGCTCTAATTCATCCCAAAGGTGTCAGGACTCTGTGCGGCCAGTTATGACATGCTAACCCCTTGCTTTGAAGCCAGTACCTGCCTATGAGGGTCCAACATGCGGACATGCTGCAGCAAGAGAAGGGATGACATCGGAGAGGGGCACACAGAGGAAACCCCGCTGAGCCTGTTTACGAGTCATGGTAAATGAATCTCAGCTCGCCCGAGTGGCAGGGAACAGAATAAGAAGTCTGAACATTTCTTCACGTGTTTAATAGAAACCACAAGGTGGAGTGCAATTATTCATTATAAAAAAACCACGTGTGGGATGTCTCCGCAGATGCGGATTAAACATTTCGTTATGGGGAATTCTCGGCCCGGACCGCAATGTTTATAAACAAAGCTGAAATGCCAAAAATTACCACTTATATGTCAGGCCGCTGAAGCTGTAAATATGATGTAAAATGGATTACACACCAGGGACCCATTTGGGTTATTTGCGCGCCTGAACCCATCCACACCGTCTTTCAGCTTCGGATCTTCCAAGGTTCAAATCAAATTCAGACTTATGGGACAGTAATAACGATTTACTGCGTGAGGGTGAGCGACGACATCACCATCAGTGACAAGTTACTGCTATTTATCTGGTTTAACAGCTTAGAAGATACATTTATACTTGTTCTGCCCCAAAATATCAAATATATTAAATATTGCAGCTAGATGTGGCGGCTGCATTTGTTTCCTTTTTCTGGTTTAGGGCCCGTTCACACCAGATGCAGTGCGTGCCGGCCTGATTCTGGCCAGAACGCACTGCATCGCATTGCGGCATTGTGGGGCAGGAGGGGGCGTGGCATTGCAGCATTTTGATCGCACCGGACCGCAGACATAATGTGCCTTGCGATCCCGTGCGGCCGAATACATTGCGGCCGGAGGGCGTGGCTACGGTGCCATTCACCTCAATGGCCCGTCACGCCCCCTTCTGCCCCACAAAAAAAGTGAGCCGGCCGCAATGCGAGGCAGTGCGTTCTGGCCAGCATTGGCCCGGAACGCACTGCAGCTGGTGTGAACGAGGCCTTAGGCTTTTCTCTTTTATTTTCTCCTGGCGATCCTGCCAGTAACAAACTTTTTGTCCCAGGGTGACAACGCTCACTCATTGTACTGTATCTACGGAGGGAGCCATGGTTGTCACCCAGGTTGCTTACTGATTTGGACTGCAAGCATGTCTTCCTCTCTTAATCTCCATTACACGGGGGCAGGGGGATTTGTATTTCACACAAGATAGCTTAGAAGGAAAACAACGCAGGTTGTGCTTTTAAAGGAGAACTATGGGGTCAGGTCTTTTCCCCATAGTTCTCCTTATGGTAACGGGAGGACACAAACTAGCGTCCTCCCCTCACCCTAGGCTCAGTATACCGCGAGCTACAACTCATTATATGCTGAGACGCCGCAGCTGAAGCGGATCCCGACAATTGTGCCGGGATCCGCCCAGCTGCGTGACTGACAGCTGGCTCTGCCTATCTAGAGGCAGAGCCAGCTGTCCCCGCCCCCTCCCCCGTCCGTTCCGCCAGTCAGCGCTGGAGGATCGGAGCGGGGAATCCAGCCCCTCCCCTGTCACGGCAGAGAGCCGTGACAGGATCGAGAAGTGAGCGAACGCCGGTATGTGTTCCCTCACCTCCCGATCTACTGAGCCGACCTGTGACAGTCTCATTGTCACAGGTCGGCTAGAACTATGAGGTGAGTGAAAAGCCCCTCCCCCTCATAGTTCTCCTTTAAGTCATCTCACATTAGGTGACAAGGACGCTGAATTTCTGCCAGGATCTACAGGTGCATTCTGTACTTCCTGAAAATGTTCTTAGCGTAAAAAAATAAAAACTAATGCAGCCGCCACACCTAAATAATGGGTAGGCAGCAAAAGGTTACATCTTGTATTATTTTGATGTATTTTAGTAATGTATTTATTATTAGGGTGCACCGGTACTGGTTTTTCGGTATCGTGTACGAGTATCTATACTCTGCTTTCGGTACTCGTTCATATCGAGTACCGATACCGGTGCTCCCGCTGACACTTGCTTCCCGGGCAATCTGATTGACTGAGAAGCCGTCTCCATGTTGTCTGGCTGGCTTGATTGTGCTTGGCCAGGAAACCGGCTTCCCAGTCAATTAGCATTGAGCTAATCAGGCAATCAGTAATGACTCGCCTCCCAGCCTCCTGATTGGCCAGGAAGCCGGCCAGATGCTGATTGGCTGGAACAATCAGGAGGCAGGTCATTACTTGCTGCCCAGCTACCTGATCGCACTGGAAGCTGGCTCCGTGTTCCCCTTCCTCTCAGTGGACGTTCCGGTATCGGGGAAGGTATCGGAGCACTTGGGGGGGAGTGCGAGTGCTGCCCCAAATACTCGGTATCGGCACTAATACTAGTATCGGTATTTCACTAGGATTTAAGGACACACTCACTGGAAGGTAAGGTGGGTAGGTATGGGGGGGGGGAAGTTATTCTGGATGCTGCAATAAAGTCTCATGAATGTACATGAAGCTCTTTTCTTTGTCTTAAGGTGGCCATACACGGAAATCCCGCGATCGTACGATAATCGTGCAGTGTATGGAAGGCGTGCGACCGTTTCTACTGTACGACCGCACGTCTTCCGTCGAACAAGCAGGCTGGAAAACCCGCCGGGAATCGTACGATTCTCGTCGAGTTAGTGGCCTGCTTTTTCGACAGCTGCCGAACGGGCCGGCGTGTGCACGCGCACACTGCCCGTCTGCAGTCATCGCAAGCCCGCCCCTCATTGCAGTCATCGGAAGCCCGCCCCTCATTGCAGTCATCGGAAGCCCGCCCCTCATTGCAGTCATCGGAAGCCCGCCCCTCATTGCAGTCATCGGAAGCCCGCCCCTCATTGCAGTCATCGGAAGCCCGCCCCTCATTGCAGTCATCGGAAGCCCGCCCCTCATTGCAGTCATCGGAAGCCCGCCCCTCATTGCAGTCATCGGAAGCCCGCCCCTCATTGCAGTCATCGGAAGCCCGCCCCTCATTGCAGTCATCGGAAGCCCGCCCCTCATTGCAGTCATCGGAAGCCCGCCCCTCATTGCAGTCATCGCAAGTACGATCTGCCTGTCCAAGATGGGCAGATCGTACGTTTTTTTAAAGTACTTTACAACCCTCGCAAGACAAAAGTCTTGCGAGGGTTGTAAAGTGTATGGGCACCTTTACGTTCACTTTTTTTTCCCCAGCAGCTGTGCAGAGTAAATATGATAATAAGAGATAGACCCGGTAATAGGCTTCCAGTAATAGACCTGTAAGACACGCCCCCTCTCTCCCTCTGTGATGTCACTTCTCATGAAGAACGTGGATGATAGTCAGCTCTCCCAACACAGGGCACTGGAGGCAGGCCCGGCGCTACCGCAAGGCAAGCGGCCGCCTGAGGGCGCTGAAGGGTGAGGGCGGAAAAAACAGGGCATTTTGACAAGTGCCCCGATGCTTGCGCTATGTTTTTTTTTTCACTTACCAAATCAAAACAACGAAGCTGAAAGGAACAAAAAAGAAAAAAAGGAGGATGGTGTGCGGAGGAGGGGGAATTGAGGAAGAGGGGAAGGGGACAGCAGCCAAAAACGTAAAATACACAAAAAAAACCCCACAATCACACAAATACCATTCGACCCACAAGCACACTTTTTTATTTTATTTACAAAGCCTTCTTTTTTTCTCATTTTACTAAATGCAGCTTACATGCTGATAGGGAGCAGGCCAGGGGGTCCGGGAGGGGGTTCGAAGGGGGGAGAGGGGGCGCAAAAATGCACCTTCGCCTGTGTAGGCAAAAATCCTAGCACCGGCCCTGACTGGAGGGGGGAGAGCAGAACGCAGCATTTTCACCAAGAGAAATTTTTTTTGCAGGCGTCACCAAGCAAAAAATAGTCACAAACCATAAAATGGGGATACAAGAGTAAAAAAATAGATACAAAAGGCGTGAGACTGTAACTGGGCTTTAACTTCAAGAAGAGTCGGTACAAAGCGATGGGCGTATCACATGATAAGATAACACAGCTCAGAATGGACAGCGTGGACTCCACCCAGCGCTTAAAATAAATCCGCTGCGCTGCTTACTTTGGGAAGATGGTGGCCATCATTGCGGAGGCGTAGCCCGGTTTGCAGACGCCGTCGGAGAAGTTTGCGTATCTTGTTGCAATTTCGGCTTGCCTAGGAGATAAAATAAGACAGAAAATCACGACAGATGTACAATGTTGCCTCTATAAAATATTAGGCTGGCCATACACATGAAGAATGTTCTCATTCAGACTCACAGGCTTAAAGGAGAACTATGAGGGGGAGGGGCTTTTCACTCATCCTCATAGTTCTAGCCGACCTGTGACAATGAGACTGTCACAGGTCGGCTCAGTAGATCGGGAGGTGAGTGAACACATACCGGCGTTCGCTCACCTCTCGATCCTGTCACGGCAGAGGCTGGATTCCCCCCTCCACGCTCCGATCCGCCAGCGCTGACCGGCGGAACGGACGGGGGGGGGGGCGGGTACAGCTGGCTCTGCCTCTAGATAGGCAGAGCCAGCTGTCACTCACACAGCTGGGCGGATCCCGGCACAATTGTCGGGATCCGCTTCAGCCGCGGCGTCTCAGTATACCGCGAGCTGTAGCTCCCTATATACTGAGCCTAGGGTGACGGGAGGACGCTAGTTTGTGTCCTCCCGTTACCCTAAGGAGAACTATGGGGAAAAACACTGACCCCATAGTTCTCCTTTAACTAGAGAGATAACTCGATTCCCCCAACTACACTAAACCACGTGGATGGGGGAATCTGTACTTCCGGCTACTGAATTTAGGTGGTTGCCGAAATAACCATCAAATGACGGCATTTGACTGGACGAAGTCGCTGCTAATCCAACAATTCCCCACCCGGCTCCTTTGATTTTGAAATTTCTTTATGTGGACCCGGGTGGTGCTGACAGGGCCAACCGTTCAGCAGGAATCGGCCCAAATTTGAGCCATTAATGGCTCGCATACACCGTCTCAGAAGTAATCACATGAATTGCACCTCCTCTGTACACTGATAAATCATTCAAGGTAAACATTGTATTTTTTCATCACTAGAAGGTACAAAAATCAGCGCGGACCACAGACATAAACCGCCCACGATTAAGAAGAACATCAGATTTGGACACAACTGCTACAAGAAGTGTGGACATTCTGGGAGAATAAGTTATTAGACGTAAAGCAGCAGAAGAGCATTTCCTCAGAACCTGTGATGGTCTTATATTGGTACATCTCTGTATGGTGGTCTCTCCTGGTCCCAGAAGATCATTGGAAGTGCCCCTCCCTGTAATAAAGACCGCTCACTGCTGCTCTCTCTCCTTATGCAGGGTGATTGGTCATGTATCCGCCCCCTCCTGTAATAAAGACCGGTCACTGCTGCTCTCTCTCTACTTGTGCAGGATGACTGGTCATGTATCCGCCCCCTCCTGTAATAAACACCGGTCACTGCTACTCTCTCCTTGTGCAGGATGACTGGTCATGTATCCGCCCCCTCCTGTAATAAACACCGGTCACTGCTACTCTCTCCTTGTGCAGGATGACTGGTCTCGTCACCGCCCCCCCTCTTGTAGTTTCCTGTAGTGGGTGGGGCCTGCTGGGTCCCTCCCACACAGTGATGATGCCGCTGCTACTTTAAGGCAATATCTTGGTTTTCGAAGGTGCACACAAAGTGGATTTATATCCTTTTGTGACTATTGAGGACTATATTTCCCTTGTGCTTGCGAGTCTTTCCTCCATATCCATTAACGCCCTTTAGCCTTCGGCTAATATTATTGGGGGAACGGTCTCGATACAAAGACAGCGAAGGATGGATAAAGGAAGGCCATTCACTGAACTAACCACATTCATTAAAGTCACAATAGAGAAATATTTATCTTTATAAGTAAAGAACTCCAAAGGAGCCATTAGAACCTGAGCCAAGTCTGCGGCTGTGCCAAGGAATGAGCTGGCCCCGCTGCATTCAATTGACAGGGTCACCGGAGATGTAGGTACGGCTATACTAGAGCACCTGTAATCATATCTAGTCACGCTCTACCTTCCTGAGAGGCACTGACGTGTTTACATACGAGGGAAACAATGGCGTGACTTTCCGTACTCTGGGAACGTTTCTTGTGAAATATGATTTTTTTTTTTTCCTCTCCTTGTGCGGCCGCCGCGGGGAAACTCACTTCATTTAAAGCAATGTCAAAGTTCAGCTGGTGTTAAACTATTTGCATCTGGCCATGGGGAGGAGGGCCCATTCCTATGTGTGCACGAAGACTTCTCCCCATACTGGGCTTTTCCCAAGTACTACTCCTCCTTCTAACTTGTGTGAGGTATTAGCTGCCGGGATTGTGGATGTTATACGGTATATGGGCTGTGAATGATAAATATGCACTGTGGACAATCAATATGGACTGTGGACTTTGCGTATGGACTGTGGACCATGAATTAAGACTGTGGATGTTGTATATGGACTGTGGATGATGAAAATGGACTGTGGATGTTGTATATAGACTGTGGATGATGAATATGGACTGTGGATGTTGTATATGGACTGTGGACGATGAATATGGACTGTGGATTTTGTCAATGGACTGTGGACCATAAATATAGACTGTGGATGTTGTATATGGACTGTGGACGATGAATATGGACTGTGGATGTTGTATATGGACTGTGGATGATGAATATGGACTGTGGATGTTGTATATGGACTGTGGACGATGAATATGGACTGTGGATGTTGTATATGGACTGTGGACCATAAATATAGACTGTGGATGTTGTATATGGACTGTGGACGATGAATATGGACTGTGGATGTTGTATATGGACTGTGGATGATGAATATGGACTGTGGATGATGAATATGGACTGTGGATGTTGTATATGGACTGTGGACCATAAATATGGACTGTGGATGTTGTATATGGACTGTGGACCATAAATATAGACTGTGGATGTTGTATATGGACTGTGGATGATGAATATGGAGGACTGTGGAGGTTGTACAGTATATGGACTGTGGACGATGAATATGGACGGTGGAGGTTGTATATGGACTGTGGATGATGAATATGGAGGACTGTGGATGTTGTATATGGACTGTGGATGATGAATATGGACTGTGGATGATGAATATGGACGGTGGATGTTGTATATGGACTGTGGATGTTGCATATGGACTGTAAATGATAAATATGGACTAGAGCTGCAGCTAACGATTATTTTCAAAATCGATTAGTTAGCCGATTATTGAGTTCGATTAATCGGTTAATCGGATAAACAATAAAATACATTTTAAAAAATGGCTCCAGTGATGGACTACTAGTTTGTATCGAGGTTGTAGTCCATCACAGGAGCAAGCTTGGAGCGGTGGAAGTAAAAAAAATGGTGTGGTGTGCAATATAGTGAAATGGAAAGTGTAATTTGTATATGTACTATGGACAATGAATATGAACTGTGAACGATGAATACGGAGTACTATGGGGGTTGTATATGGACTGTGGACGATGAATATGGACGGTGGAGGTTGTATATGTACTATGGACAATGAATATGAACTGTGGATGATGAATATGGAGGACTGTGGAAGTTGTATATGGACTGTGGTCAATGAATACAGACTGTGGACAATGAATACAGACTGTGGACGTTGTATATGGGCTGTGAGAGATTTATATGGACTGTGGATGATGTATTTAGGTTTCTCGCTTACACATGGTGAAGGGGCTCCAGGGTGTGTGCATACTATAGAGGAAACAAACTTTGTTTTCTCAGAAGGTCTTCTTCTGGGTCCAGGACCCTGGAGGCTTTGTAGATCTTTGGGTGGGATAAAGCCTTCATTCGTAGGTCCTCATCTTACCTGGTAGACTTCATTATTATTCAGCTGTCCACAGGTCTTTCTGGGTCACGTCCGGATGTACGCAGCATTACTGACCAAGTCTAAATGAATGTGAATAACTACTACTACACACTGAGTGGCCGGATTATTATATACACCGAGTGGCCGGATTATTATATACACTGAGTGGCCGGATTATTATATACACCGAGTGGCCGGATTATTATATACACCGAGTGGCCGGATTATTATATACACTGAGTGGCCGGATTATTATATACACTGAGTGGCCGGATTATTATATACACTGAGTGGCCGGATTATTATGACCACCTGACGTTTGTAGGCAAATTAGCTATAATTTGGCGCTGAAGTTGCTAGAGGGCCAGACCATTATAAATAGGGAAGCGGGTTGGTTACCACGACAGTAGAAGTGATTGGGAAGATTCGGGGAAACAACGCGATGTAACAGCCTTTGAACGTGGGATGATTGTTGGCGCTCGGAGCCATGGAGCGAGTATCAGCAAAACAGCAGAATGCGTTACATGTTCAAGAGCGGCTCATTGTTAAAGTGTTTAAAGACCGGACTGTCAGCCGAAAATCTGGGTCTGAACGTGCGAATTGTGGCCGTCAGCGACTAGTCAATGTTAGGGCAGAACGGGGGAGGGGCAAGACTGGTACAAGACAACAGAAGGGCAACAGCGCCGTGTCAGATTCCTCGCATCACCTTTCACCATCTCGTGGAGTCACCAGGCGGCCCAACCAAGTACTGATGGGGGGGGTCATAATAATCTGCCCACTCAGTGTATACACCAGGACCTGGATGAACCTTCACAGAGACTCTTATTGTTTCTTACTGCTGGTGTGAATGGGAGAGCACTAAAAGATGGTTCTGGCCTTCACTGAGAAGAGTTATCATACAAAAATATAAAAGTCAAGCCACAAAAATGTTA